GTCAGAAAGTAAACTTCCCGCCTTTTAATCAAGTTGTCAGCTACCTAATTGCAGAAACCCTTTTGACAAAGAAGATGGCTAAAGAAAAAAGATGAGCAGTATCGTACTTTTCACCTTTGTGGAGAGAGCGGGTTCTGTAGTGTGTCTAGTATGCAATGATAAAATTACATTGATGAAACGGTCAAATATAAAGCGGCACTTCGACACACGCCATACTACATTTGCATTGAAATATCCTGCGGGGCACAGCAGGAAGAAAGCATGTCAAGAGCTACTGTGCAGAGTGCAAGCTAGTCAGCAGCAACTCCGTGTTTGGACACAACAAGGTGACTGGAATTCAGCTAGCTTTGCTGGCGCTTTAGCAATTGTGAGAAATGGAAAGCCGTTCACAGATGGGGAGTATGCCAAAACATTCATGCTTGATGTTGCAATGAACTTTTTGACGATTTTCGGATGAAGACAGATAGTCAAACGAATAAAAGACACGCCTCTGTCGCCAAGAACTGTTCACGATTGTACCATCATGATGGCAAATCAAATTGAGGCAACACAAGTGAAGGACATAAATGCAGCACCATTCTTTTCTCTCGCCTGAATGAGTCAACAGACATAAGCCATTTATCCCAGTTCAAGGTATGCTGTCGTGCTGTTTTGCCTATGAAAGGGACAAGAGGGGAGGATTTATTCAAGTCTTTCACTGAGTTTGCTAAAGAAAAAAATCTACAGATGGATAAACTTATTTCGGTGTGTACTGATGGTGCTCCGTGCATGGTGGGGAAAAACAGAGGATTCCTAGCGCTTCTTCGTGAACATGAAAAGAGACCCATCCTAAGTTTTCACTGCATCCGACATCAGGAGGCGCTTTGTGCTCAGATGTGCGGCGAGCAGCTTGGTGAGGGATGTCGCTAGTCATTCGGGTGGTCAACTTTTTGTTGCCCGAGCTTTAAATGATCGGCAGTTTAAAACACTGCTAGATGAAGTTGGAATAATTATCCTGGTCTGCTTCTGGTGCGTGGTTGTCAAGAGGGAAGGTGCTCAGCTGTTTGGCGGCTTGTCTGAGCGAAATCCGGACTTTTCTTGAAATGAAAAACGTCGAGCATCCTGAGTTAGCTAACACTGAGCGGCTCCTGAAGTTCTACTATCTCGTGGACATGACTGAACATCTGAACCAGCTCAATGTGAAAATGCAAGGCGTTGGAAATACAGTCTTATCCCTTCAACAAGCAGTGTTTGCATTTGAAAACAACCACAGACTGCAGCGTTTGAGTATGCTGTACTGACAATGTTTGGCTCTATGTATGCATGAGAGCAGTCTTTCTCACATCTAAAGAACATTAAGACCAACTATGATCTAAAATTTAACGGATGGAAGTCTCAACGCCTGCATGAAGCTTAACCTCACCACGTATCAACCAGACTACAAAGCCGTCAGCAAAACCGTGCAGCACCAGAAGTCGTATTAATGGTACTTTATTCATCATTGGTTAGAAACAGCATAACGTTATTAAAAAGAATTCAGAGACTTAATGTACTTTAAAGTGTGGTCTTACATAAAATGCACACATTTACTTGTTTAGTGTTAAACATTGTATGGCTCTCTCAGTCAAAAAGGTTCCGACCCCTGCTTTAAAGCAAGCAGGGTTAGGCCGAGTACAGGTGATGCCTTGGCTGCCTGCAATCGGGGCCTTATTGAGTCTCTCCAGTCGTTAATAATGTAGCTGTTTATCTGAAGTGAGCAAAGAGCATCTGAAGGCAGCAGCATGAGACGATGTTCAGTTCTTTTAACCTTGAGATCAACAAATGTCAAGTGAAATGTCATCTCTGGACAACAACACGCACACATCCGCGTCTTGAATATTAATAAAACAGCATCTGTAGTTCAGCCATCTCTGCACAAACCTTCAGTTTCCATTTCTTTTGAACAGTGATGAAAGATGGAGGCGAGGAGATGGACGCACAGTTATGAGGCACCATTATAATCAACACAGAGTTTGAAAAAGCAGTGGATAAAAACATCCCTTGGTGTGAGGAGACCCAGGTTCAATCCCCCACTGTGACCCATCCACATTGTGTCCCTTAGCAAGACACTTAACCCCTCGTGCTCCAGAGCGTGAGACCTCTGACATGTAGAGCAATTGTAAGTCGCTTTGGATAAAGCGTCGGCTAAATGAATAAATGTAAATGTAAGACAGTGTGTAACGTCAGGTTGAGTGAATCAAATACTGAATGCTGGTCAGACAACATGAAAAAAAGCTCTTTCAACAAAATACATCACACAACACACGGATATGCTTGAAGTGACACCAACAGATGTGATGGACACTCACCTCTGGGCCAGCGGGAGGAACAAAGCTGTGATGCATGTTCGGTAAAGTTTTCAGCCCGTCTCCTGTGAGAAAAATGAATTTATTTCGGGGTTCTGTTGAGCAGCTCTTTTTATCAAACAGTCCCAGACCGAAAGCCAAGAGCCGTGACAAGGATACGCATCCAGTGTGAGCACTGGTCCGTGAGAATTGGAATTATCTTAAAATTACAGTGTGAGCTGTGTTTACAAAGAGGCCCATTCTTTTGGTTTGGGATGTGCTGCCAAAATCCCTTTTCAAGTGTTCCACTTGTCTCTACATGTTCTTCGCATATTAGTCTTGAAGAGCAAGTGCACGCTGTCCAGTGCTGAAGGAGATGCGAATATGCTTTAAAAGTAACTTGCATATTTAAACAGGCTTTATGTTTTTTATTGCCTATTTGGGAATCGGTTGTAACCTCACATAAAAATTAACCACACGCCTGCTTTCTCTGTCCCTTGGAACAGCTACTATTCTGCGGAAAAAATGGGGTTGGATTGTCTGCATCGTCGCTCCCGAGCCTCTGGCCTCCTGATTCTGAACCGTCCACACAGCGGACAGCACCGCAGCTAATGAACTGGAGTCCGCTATAAAACCAAAAAAACGACCGGCTCCCAACACAACAAGACTAAAAAACAAAGGAAAGGCTTAAGTCACGAAGAGACTTCCGCTTTGTTTGGAACGACAAAAGGACCCAGTCAGTCTTTCATCCCAGGGCGGCCTGACAGTGTTGGAGCCCTAGGCGAGATTTGAAATTGGTTTGTTTCGACAATGGAGGGGACACATGAAGAGCAGCTCAGGGGGTTCTCCCCCAGACAATTTTAAGCATTAAGACATAATTTTCTGCATCATGGTGAAATTTGTGCTCCAATTTATGGTGCAAATGTCTTTAGTTATATAAAGGGAAACACAATGTTCAGGTGGCAGGTGACAATTCAAAACAATGTAAAGAATATAATGCATTCAGGCTCTCAGGCATCCTGGCCATTGCATTTAAATGTTTTCACCTTTAAATCAAATTTTCTAATTAATAAAATCCTGATGAGTCAGTACACGTTGCCACCCTCTTTTGAGTCTCCGTTTTCACCTCAATGATAAATTAATTCCTTTTTAATTCAGTTATAAACTCCTGCACTTTAATAGCTCGTGTTTCAGCAGGTTTTCAGCTCATGTTGAAAACTTTCTGCACATTCAGATCTCTCCCACATATCGTGTTCTCTGACATGTGAGAAAGAAGTCACTGCATTACAAGACTAAAGTCATATTAAATGAGAATTCATGATGTTTAAGTCTTCCGGCCCGTCCTCTGCTGTGTTTTACGTTATTGCTCTGCTGGTAGTTTAGACCGTTTGACCGACACTTTGGGACATGTGAAACCAAAACAAACCGAAAACACTTGTGATCAGGCACAAATCTCACCACAAATCCACACGTTAACTTCAGAGCAAGGTTGCGCCTCAGTTTTTAGATGGTTTATAGTGCAAAACTTACGACTTGTCACAACTGTCTGGACTCACAGCGCGAGGTGCATTTGACGCTTTCTCTTGCGGCGCTCCCTGACATTTTGTGCCTAAGTCGCCTAGCCACAGGCCGGCAGTTCATTCTATTGGACAGGTAAACCAACATTACAAAAGCATGTGAATATATTGTGATTTCTTGCTTTAGTCGGCTCAAGTTAGATAGCTATTGTTAACATTATCTGTTGCAAAATACTACAGTTGTGAGGCTTTCCACATTACTTCAACCAGCTAACGCTATCCATGTTACCATCTGTGTGTCACTAGTATTATGTCAAAGTGTTGGTTTTAGCCTGCAGGAAATTATGTAACAGTACAAAGAAAGTGTGCAGCGATTTGTTTGTTAGCTGATAGTGATGCAAGGCAGGAGCAAGCCAGCTATAGGGCTGAACGATTAATCCTTTTGTGATGTAGGTTAATTATACATCTGA